TTAAATATGTACATATATACGTACATACGGCAAGTACATTACATATCTCACATATTCGATTGGAATGGTGGTATATAATAGTAAGTAGTAAAAGTTAAGTATTGGTCAAGCAACGATTCACACAGAGAACAAATATATTCCTACCAAATACTATATCTCTCGATGGATAAAAAGAAATCCACTTGTCAGACTCATCCTAAAACGTTCGACGGATATCTAGAGAAACCAAGTTTCGTTTGCTATTCGTTCATCCGATTTAAAAGCTATTGCTCGAGGATATACGAATGCCCCCCGCCCCTCTCTCTCTCTCTCTCTCTCTCTCTCTCTTTCTCTCTTTCTCTCTTTCTCTCTTTCTCTTTTGTGATCTTACACGAATATCGAAAGAGAGATACGATAAAGTATCTTGATCGAATTTTCATTTCTTAAAGAGTACATACATACGAACAGGCAATTACATATACTTATGAATTATTTATAGCGTGATAACATAAATCATACGTAACATCTTAAAATTAAAAAAAAAAAAAAAAATATATATATATATATATATTTTCTCATTCGAACGATTATGATTTGCTTCCTTGAAAAAGACAAGAAAAAATTCATAGCAAGAGGATCTTTTCCCTCGAAGAGAAAGAGAGAGAGAGAGAGAGAGAGAGAGAGAGAGAGAAAGAGAGAGAGAGACGAAACAAAAGGGTAAGAATGATCCTTGGCTCATAAAAAAGGCGAATCGTGAGATTTAACGCGTCGAAGGAAGGAACGAAATTTTATCTTTGTCAAGAGGTGATAATAACTAGTTTCTGTAAGATTTTCTGTCAATGATGCGAAAACTTCACAACTTTTGGATCGAAAGAAGAGAAATAAAAAAAAAATTTTATTATTTTGTAAACTTAAAAATATATTGCGTTGTTTAAAAACTTTCGATACTATTTTACGATTAGATTACAAAAAAACAATTTCTTCTTTTGCATTTTTGTTTTTATATTACGTATTATTTACTTATTTATTTATTTATTTATTTTTGATCGAATTAATACTTTATATTATCTTTATATTTTCTTTATATTTTCTTTATATTTTCTTTATATATATATTTTTTTTTGTATGTTTTTTGATGAACACTTTTTATCCTCGAATTATCGTTTATCGATTTCCTCAAAAGAATCGTCCAAGTCTTCTTGTAACTCGACCAAAGACTCTAACGTTCGAACTTGTCATTGAATTTTCCCGAAGGTGTCGTCCTTCTACTACTAAACTTTCACCGATAAATAATCAGGTTACCCTGGCACTTTACGTTCGAACGATCTACTGTTACGTTACACCGACGTAAGTAACTTTGTCATTTGGAACGGAAGAAGCAAGTTCGTCCGTGTAACATACAAACGATGGGCTCCCCGTTTGAACTTTGATCTCAATTCATGTATATATCGATTAATATGAGATTAACGTTTAAATGATTAACGCATTATTGGTGTTAATCATTCGAAACTCCATAGTTCATACGCTCGAATTAAATTAATACCTATATATGCAATATATATATATATATATATATATATATATATATATGTATATAATGAAACATTTCCATTAATCAAAAATGAGAGATCCGACATCAACGAAAATGCTATTAACGATGATCTCCACATCGTTAATACTATTTTAATAGATAACGAGTATGCATATGTCAATTGCATTTACAACACGCATGCAATAACCGCAGATGCAGTTAATGACATAATTATGTGGCGAATATTTTATCGTTTGTAAGCAGACAACTCTGAATATCTATCTTGGAGGTATGAATGAAAGTAAATAAAAAAAAAGAAAAAAAAAAAAAAGAAAAAAAAAAGAAAAAAATAGGAAACCATAAAAAACAGAGAAAGAGAGAAAGAGAGAGAGAAAGAGACTATGATCTTTTAATTTATTAAACGAGGATACCTACTCGTCGATCAAGTTCTTCAGCTTCAACGAATTCTCCTTTCTCGTTGAATCGTTCGAACAAAGGGATATCCTTAATCGAAAACTGATAGCCCGAAGGAGTAGTGGTTATCGCTCGCGCGAATAATTCGTTGATCGACTGGCGATCCATCGAAGGTGCTTTAGAAAGAGAACCCAACGTGACTAGCACGAGCACATCTCTCTTTCTGTCTCCATCTTTATCTATCCCTCTTTATCTCTTTTATCTTTCTCTTTGAATATTTTTCGAATCCCGTTATATTTTTCGTAACTGAAATGATTCAATGAAGATACTGATATAAATTATTAGTAAGAATTTGTTCAATAAAATTATTTAATACAATCATCTATCTCTTACGTATAACGTTCGCTGAAATAAACTTTATCCCAAAAGGAAGTAACGGATCGTTAAAAGTATTCTGAGATAATAATTCCTTTGACGACGACGAAGTTTTTCTCTCCAAGGAAATTTTCTCTTTGCCGGATTAAATAGATGGATCTCGTCTCGTTAATATGTACATCGTCACGCAATTTTCTATTG